GGAAAACGAATTGTTCATGTTGGTATTTATATCTTTATTCTCTAAAATGTCATCATATTGTTTTATGTCTGGAGCTTTTGAAACATGATAATGGATATAACCAGCTATGCCGTAGCCCACTGTGTCTTCCCTTAAATCAGAAACATAAAAATGCGTCTGTTTTCAGGCCTGCAATTAAACATTGAACTGTAGGTTTTCCATTATTTCATCTAAATACAGTATCTCCAGTTTTGGACTAGGGTTTTTAGTATAATAGTCATATCTTTTTGTCATGCCATTTGAAGACTTTAATTATGGGCTGTTGTGTAGTCTTTTATGCTTGATCAAAAGAAAAAAAATGAAGAACAAAAAATATCAAGACAAACAGATACCTTGGACCATCTGTACAACTGAAACTTCAGATGAATCAGTGAAAAAACACATCAAGTTCAGTAAGACCAAGTGCAAAGTCCTGCACCTGTTTTGAGGCAATCAGTACAAACCAGGAGATGAATGGATTGGGAGCAGCAGTCCTGCAGGGAAGAACTTGGGGGAACTGGTGGATGAAGAATTGAACATGAGCTAGCAATATGTGCTTGCACGCCAGAAAGCCTGTCATGTCCTCAGCTGCATAAAAAGAAGTATGGCCAGCAGGTTGAGTGAGCTGAAAAAAGCAGCTGCTCCACTGTGTTGTAATCTAAACGTACTGAAGTGTCTGGGCATCCTGAAGCTGCTTCATTTATCCTGTGTGTCTGGTCTGACCTTTGTATTGGGAGTATTTGTGCTCACGTTTTAAGAGGCAACCAGTACCATGTAGTCTTAGTCTGGGCATGAAATATCTGCTGTGTCTCAGCAATTTTAAGCAGCGCGTTAGTTCTCTTGTAACAGGTGGGAATTCAAGCTTGCCTGCCCTGATGATCATTAGTCTTTCCATGAGCTAGTATGGTGGTTGGTAGGGCTCGCAGCCTCATCCGTGTTTTGCATATCCAGTCCTTTTCTCAGTTTTTACTAGCTGTTATTAAGACTTCTGGGCAGGCTGACCAATCCCTTTGGAAGTCCCTGCTTTCACATTACCGAATGCCCAGATAATGTCACCAGATATAGCACATACCTGGAGATAATGTGGTACCTGTATGTTTATGTAACAGCCTGTTTTCTGGTTATAAAAGTTGCATCAGAGGAACCTAAAGGTAGAGTTTACAGGAAGATGGGAAGTTAAGATGGTAGACAGCTTCCTGAAAAGGACTTAATTTTTTTGGTATTACATAACTTCTGTTTCTTTACAAGCTGCCATTGAAATGGTAGAAAAACTGTTTTACTGCCTTTTCTCTCCACCTTGCTTTCATGCTTTCTAAGGAGATGCAATACTATATAAAAAATTTGTCATATACTGACATTTCCCTTTTCTATTTCTGATTCTCATACCAATCTAATTTATATAGTTTGCCTTCTTTCACCTAGTTTGTTCAGTCCCTTAGGAACTTTCTCCTCTAATAGAAACTTCATTCAGCTTCATGTTCTTACTTAAAGATAAGATGTCACCTGATCAGGTCACTTAGGGCCTAAAAACAATGAAAAATAGTCTCCATCTCAGTTCTCTGAAGATCCATCCAACTCAGAATACACAGAGGCCTTTCAGGCCTGTCTACAGAGAACTGAATCACAGGTGAGTCACAGGTAGTCAAAGATACACTCTGCTGTACATGCTGTCATTTCAGCACAGAGGAAAGAGGAGCAAGCCTGCCCTCTTTACACCTTCTGAAATTGAGACTTTCTAGTTACAGCTGGCAGGGCAGAAGCTTACCTGCAGTTAAATTTAAAATGTCAACAGGATGTCTCCTGGAAATGTCTCAGCATGCCAAGAACTCTGGTTATTGGCAAGTATTTTTTCTTTATTATATAATTAGCTGCTCTTAGGGGAAAAATATCAAGGGTTTTTTTGTATAGGCTAAATTAGATGTGCTTTGCAAGCAGTTTGCTTCCAGTGAATATTCATGTATCATTTCTCACAAGACTATTACTAGGACATATACAGACAGGTCTACACTAAGATTCATAAGCTGCCAAATAAAACATTTTGTTTTATAGAAGTTCAATTTATATGTTCCCATGGAATATCTCTAACAATCTGAACAATTAAGTCCTTATTGTGGATACTGTTATCACTGTTTTGGTGAATTTTGTCTTTAGTAAATCACATGACAAATGGTACTTGCTGGAGAAGATAGAACGCTAATAGCAATTACATGAACTAAGTTGTTGGCACAGTTTAAAAGCCACCTACATTCCAGCCACTTCTAATGCATGTTTAGGTCAATTTTCTGTTAACCTGCAAAAATACGGAATATAACCTTAGAATTAAAAGAATGACCAAATGGAACAATAAGAAAAGGATTTAAGTACCTGCAAGAACTGCTCCTGCAAAGTGCTCCTGCAGGGTTGGATCTTGCCACCCAGCACTAGGAGACCTGGCCAAGATATCTGCCACTAGCAGCATGTCTTCTTAACAGCATGGAACTGTTATGCTACAGATCTGCAACAGATGTTGCCACCACAAATCTTGATGACTGGGAATGGATTGAAGGATGTCAGAAATCTTTCAAACCTGATTATGGAAAGCTGTTGCATCAAATATTATTTTATCTTCGCAGAATCACATAATCTCAGGGGTTGGAAGGGACCTCGAAAGATCACCTAGTCCAACCCCCCTTCCAGAGCAGGATCACCCAGAGCACATCACACAGGAATGTGTCCAGGAGGGTTTTGAATGTCTCCAGTGAAGGAGACTCCACAGTCTCTCTGGGCAGCCTGTTCCAGTGCTCTGTCACTCTCACAGTACAAATGTTTTTCCTCACATTTACATGGAACCTCCTATGCTCCAGCTTGCACCCATTTCTCCTTGTCCTATCACTGGACATCACTGAGAAGAACCTGGCTCCATCCTCCTGACACTCACCCTTTACATATTTATAAACATTGTTGAGGTCGCCCCTCAGTCTCCTCTTCTCCAAGCTAAAGACCCACCTCCCTCAGCCTTTTTTCGTAAGGGAGATCTTGGCAACTGACAGATTGACAAAAAGTGTTTAGATTGCTGCAGTTGACAGGGAGCTTGTTTATTTTTTATTTGAGGTTGTTTTGTTTTATAAGTACAGGGTTTTGTAGTTGGCCTGCCTCTTGTTCTTGACAGATTAAAGGAAAATGTTTATGTAGGTAATTCTGATCCACCCCAAGTAAGTAGAAGCTCATATCCTAACAGCTGGTATACTAGTACACCTTCACTTCCCCAGCACGTTGCTGTTTGTCTCTTTCTAGTAATATATTTTGTTCCTAGTAGTATTTTCACTGTTCATTGTTTCTGCAATTTTTCTTTGCATTCTTTTCTGTTATTTTCTCTATTTCCTTTTATGGAGATTTCTCTTTGTTTTTGTAATTGACAGGGTTTCTGCTCTTGTTTTGCACACTAAACACTAAGACAGGAAGTTTGGTTATTGTATGCATGCTGGCCAGTTTAGACTCTCTTTTACTGAAGTTCTCCTTCAGTCTGTTGAGTACTGGATGAATTATTTGCTGTATATGTTGAATAGTTTTTTGATAATTACATATTTTAAATTTTTCTTAATTTTCTGGGCATAAAAAAGAATGCTTATTGTCAGCTGCATTTGAGTGGAAGTAGATGGGCTTGCAGCAGTAACCGCTGCACAGTGGTTTTTCTAAATCTGCTGATTCTGAACTGCAGTGTTTCTTGCTCTATCCCTGATTGAGGATGAAAACCAATCTTGTTATCTGTGTTTATCCTGGAGTGTTAGCTGTGCCTTTGGGAGTACTGAATTTATTAAAGCAAAGGGTTGTGTGTTCCGTACCTTTCATCCTCCAGCACCTTTATAGCAAGTGATGTGCACAACTCTCTTTGTAAAAATAAGTAAGTAGAAATTGAGCTTAATATCATTTTAGTAATTCAGGTCCAGGATGAAGCACTAGTTGATTGTTATGCAGGGACATAAATGCAATGCAGTGCTGCATTCTCATACTAAATTTATACAAAGGTTTGATTATGTGCAACAATAGCGTCTGAGTTTCTCCCATTTGAAGCACATGACAAAATTGTTTATGAGCACTTGGTTACAATAGAAGGAGAAAATCTATATGGAACAAGTCAGTGAAAGTAATATGTGCCACCAAGCATTACTATAAAATTATTAAAAGAATAGCTAGAGATTCTTGTATGTTACATGTAGCTATAATTGAGCATTTATTGTGGTTTTGCGTGTTAATTAGTGATAAATTCTAGCTGAGACAGAAACTGCTCCAAGTTCAAAATAATATGTAACAATATTCATTTATGCAATATCTGTGCTAGAATTTACAGTCGTGTTAATTCTGAACCTTTCCCATTTGCCAAAGATAGGAGCATTATTCTGCTGTACCAGTCTGCCATCAGCAACTCTTTGAATGCCTTTTAGGTTGTTAAATCACTAGAAGTGCCATTAAGCATCATTCAACAGATATTTTGAGGGATGTAGCCTTCCTTAAGATCTACTGGGGGAACCCAGTCGTCCCAATGTTTCAGACACATTAACTTCGTTCTTAAAGTGGATGTGTAGTTTTTCTTTTGGCATCATTTATAGGTTATTTTTTTACATACTTCCAGTATATTATTGATGTATTCCATTTAATACCTAGCAGTTTTATGGGCTACTTTTAATACATATAGGCCATCCTTTTGTCCTTGTGGTACATTTTCTGAAATAGAAATACGAAGAGTGGAAGATACATAATTTGGTCTTGTAATGGTAACATTCCAGTGACCAGACTATGTTAATTCACAGACTGTAATGTTACTTCAGTCAAGTGTAGACATTCTGTCCACAGCACTGAATGGTGGTTCCAGTCTACAGAAGTGTTATGCAGTGTACATGCATGGGTAACCTTTGTGCTCCAACTTAGTTATGACATTGAGTAAGTTCCAGCTGGTCACATTACACTAGTTTTCTCTCTTCCTGTCTTCCCCAAAAATGTTTTAGGTAGAAGAGCTGATGATGGCCATGGAGAAGGTTAAGCAGGAGCTAGAGTCAATGAAAGCAAAGTTGTCCTCTACACAACAGTCCTTGGCTGAGAAGGAAACCCATTTGACCAACCTACGAGCTGAAAGAAGGAAACATTTGGAGGAAGTCCTGGAGATGAAGTAAGTGTTGCTTTCCATTATGTGTAGGCATGTTTTATTGATATCTCTGAATTCTCCTTTGATCCCTGGTGTTCTAAAGACCAACCACTGTATGGGTACATCTCTGTAGGTAACAACTGTCTGTGTAATCAGTCAAGCCCTCAGAAGTGAGTTCTGACCAGGGATTACCTACATTAATTCTTTCTTTAGAGCTCTCCCTCTGATCATTTGCAGTAGACTACTGTTATTTGCACAGTAGCATCTCCAAAGTTCCTAAACAGTTATTTGGACTCAATTATTTTGTGTCTTATGAATGTGGCATCTTGCTTGGAGTAGCCTATAATCTCCTTTAAGGTAAGGCACAAGTCAGTGTTCTGAATGACAAAAAAGGGAAAGAGGCAAGAGATAAACATAATATCAGGTAATTGTAATGATAAAATCAGGCTGCAGATGTCTGACCTGCTAAGGTATTTTTCAAACCCATGTTGACAATTCATTATCACTGGAATAGAGTTTGAAATTTTCTATCAGATAGACATCTTGACAGAAGAAGACCCAAATAAAACCAGGCTTTGAGGAGATGGGGAGAAGTGAGAAATTAAACTTCCAGGGCTTAAATACTTCCTGATTTCTGACCGTGTGTTATAGATAAATAGTTATCTTTAGTTTAGAAAGACATGAATCCATTTAGTGCAATGATGGATAGTGCTGCCAGCAGTTCATTAGCAACACTTTCAGTTGTTTAGCCAGCCCTGAAGAGAAGGAACATTTTTATTGGCAGGACCAGCAGTGGTTCCTCCACTGTGGTTTTGTGAGCCATTATTTATTTATATAACTCTAGCCTTTTTTTTTTTTCTTTTTTTCTTTTTTTTTTTCTTTTTTTTTGTTAATGAAAGGATAGAAAAACAGCTGTTACAAAATGGAAAGAGAGGTGGCTTAGATCTTGAAACTCTAACTTAGGGGTGATGTATAAAGTGAGCCAAGGCTCCCCAGCTTCATATTCAGCCACAGCAGTCTGATCTAGACCTGGCATAAGGACACTGGAAGACTGCAGTACTTAAAAGCCACACTTTTTGTTTTTAATAAAACATTTTATTGAGCTATAAATTTGTCTGCCTCAAGAGTCAATGTACTGGGGGATGGGAAGAATAGCTCTTAAGGTGATGTGGGAGTCCAAAGCAACTGGAGATATATCCTATATCCAATCACTTGGCAGTACTTTCTTCTGCCAAACTGCTCTGCCAAACCTTCTCATTAAAATATACACGAAGTGTACAGTTTATCCTGAAATGTATTTGGAATTGTGTAGCTCTAGAGCCTTTAATATAACTACTCCCTTCTTTCAAATGATGACCTCTCTTAGCTGAGTAAGTTATTGTTGGAAAGTTGTTGTACTGAAACGTAGTATCAGGAACTGCATAAACTGGTAGATCCATTGTACCTCAGAAGGAAGACAAACACTGGAGAGAATGGTAATGCTGTCAGCACATGGAGAGAAAGATGGAAAAAACATTACGTTTGTATAGTTAACAAGCTGAGCATGTTTTAGTCATAGCTGGTCTGTCTTAAAGTTCTATAAAGCTGCCAAAGGCATCCACACTTCAAAAACTCACCCTCACCGTGAGGCTCTGCTGCAAACAAGTCTCTACTGAGGGCTTCCAGTCAGTTAAATATCTTATATTTATATACATAAACTCCACTATATTGTTTTTTGCCCTACTTTCCCAGCCTATGCCTTTTAGAAAAAGCTCTCTTCCCATCTATTTTCTAGTTTTGCAGAAACCTTCTGTTGTTAAAATGTTTCCTACTATTTAAACTCAAAAGTAACAGTAATTGAATGAGTGATCAATTCTGTGAAGCAGTGAGCTGGTTTTGGTATCCGTAATGGATAACAATAGCTGTTATACAGCTACTGTTCAAAGATATAGCAAAGCAATATTGTTTTCCAGATTTTAGGGCATGCTTCACTGGGATCAGTTTGAGGTGCTCAAAAGCACTGCTGATTAAATTTGAGATTTGATTGACATGTAAGTTGAACAGCTTGGGCCCTGCAGTCAGCTAATAGGCAGGGGAGCAAGCAAGGCAAAAAGCTTAGGAAATGCTTCTTTAGGAGATTCTAGATGCGGCTGAAAGAAAATGTTAAAGCAACAAGAGGACTCCAGAAAGTTACCTCTGGGTTTTAATAGGAGGTTGTTAAGTTATTAGTTAAGTAAAATACATTTTTAAATACTGTTTCTTAGGGTAGAACTTGTGTTTACTACTGACTCTGCAGCACTGAGAAGATAATTTCACCCTCTTTAGGGAATACTGTGGCACTAGAATAGAACAAGTGTGAATTATTCCAAGGAAGAAATTTCACTCCTTAAAGAAATAATATGTATTTTGAAGCCCTCTTCCTTTAAGTCAAATATTTTCATTTTATTTAAAAAAAAAAAAAAAATAGTGTAAAAAATTATGAGAGAGGTAGATAATGGTCTCTCTATCTATCTCACCAAACATGATCTACTGTAAAAAAATGCTAGTGAACTGCTCAGATTTTTGGTTTTGTTATGTTTTCTTTAAGAAGTTCTAATGTTTCCATCATTCACAGCAAATCTTTTAAATTAGGCAGGAATAAAGTGCTGTCTACAGAGAAATCTCTGTTCTTTGTCCCATAAAAACCTGCTTAGGCTGAGCTGAGTTATAAACTGTTGAAAATCACCAGTTTTCCTTTCCCTTTTTTTCTCCTGGTGTTGTCAGCGAATTTTGGCAGTGTGTGAAAATAACCGAGCGCAAACAGTCTAATCTGGGGCCGAGTTCATGCAATTGCCAAAACTGTAGCAGCGGACACTGCACTTATAGGGAAGGGGAACAGACACTGTGTCTGCATGTCGAGAAGAGATTTTTTTAAATTATTTTTATTTTTTTTTACTAGGCAGGCCTTTTCTTACAGTCAGAAGGACCAGAAGATCCTTCCTAGTCATCTGCTTCAGGGTTGAAAAGTCCCAGTTGGAACATTTCTCAATCTGTTCTTTTAGACCAGGAAAACTGTCCAACAGCCCTTTCCTGAATTATGCCTTCTCTTGCTAATTGCAATTGCTGCTAGCCCTATAATTCAAGGGATGCAGACTTACATAATAAGGTTGGCACTTCAGAATTGAATCCTTCATCCTGCTGGCACATAACAGAAAGATTATTACTTGTCCAGAAATAATTTACTATCCTCTCTTTTCTTTAAAAAGGTTATTACAGATGAACGAATTGTTTGAATAGAATATAATTTATGTATGTTTCAAAACCAAGCTGTCAAGATGTCTTTTGGTTTCTTATGTGACTTTCCATGAGTGGCCTTTTGAATATTAATCACAGTAGTCTCTAATTACATTAATACATCCCAGAGACAGTTTTTCATTTGATACAGAGTGTAGGCAGTGATGAACCAGGCCTGTGTGGCTTAATGAAGCTTTTAATTGTGTTCCTTCTTTCATCTCAGAATCAGAAGGCCTGGTGAGAGCTGTATGAGGGCTACTATTAAAAAGATGCCAACCTAGTCAGGGCAATGTGGGAAGACAGTTCAGCCTTGGCTCTGCTGCAGTTTTCATGCATGATGTGCAGGTCACTTGAAAATATTTGGTAGGTGGTTCATAAGTCTATGTTCGTTTTCTGGCTATGATATGAAACTGCAAACACATGCACAGCAACACTCATAACTGAAAATGAAGTCAGGGGAAGCTGAGGTTGTTCATCTTCTGAAAAGTTCATCCTCTTGGCAATAAAGCAGTATTGTCTGGAGGTAGGAGTATAAGGTTGAAATTGAAAGTAGTCCAAGAGAAACTGATTAATTGGCATATAGTTTATTTGCCAGAAAAGTAATTTGAGTTGATCCAAAATGAGGTGTGAAGTAATTTCAAATGCAGCAAACAGTTGAACCAAACAAAAATATTTCAGGTTATGTGCACCCATGGTGAACAGAACAAAAAAACCCCCAAAAAACAGAGAAATGTTAATGTCCATCCAATGATAACTTGTCAGCTCATCAGAAATTGTCTTCTTGGAAATTAAATAATCTTTTTTTATAACTAAGTATGTTATGGTTTATGCAGAACTGTTTAACAACAGTTCTCCAGAGAAGTGATTCCTAGTTGCAGACGTACATGTATGTTCTCTGTGTATAAAGAGTTGTCTCTGTAGCTTGAAGTTGCTTCATGTTTGCTGTCAGTGTTACAAAGCAGTAATATGTTAATCTTGCATCTGCAAGGGATGGCTTTCCTGGCCCAACTGGGCTAAATGGTCTATGGGCCATCATGTGATTGGAGCAATGATACCAAAGCATCTCCCATAATTAGTTTGTGTGAAATTAAATAAGCTAAAATCCCACAGGGGGCACTCCATGTCCATAGGATTTACTGTCTGGGGCAAAGCTGAACAAGTGCATCTGTATCAGTCCCTTTTTTCCTTCTATGAGCTTTTTTTTTTTTTTTTTTTCTTTAAAATAGCTTTTTCAGGGCACTCAGTGAAAATGAACGTAACTATATCCTAGTCCCATTGTTTTGTCCTTTTTAATTTTTAAGTATAAATGTTTAAGTATAAATATTTCTTTTCATTTTATATGGTCACCCAGTCAGATTTTCATTTTGAAGTTGTAAAAAGTTCAGTTTCAGTAGTCTGAATGTGAAATGAAATGTGAAAATTTAACTATTTTAATTACTGGACAATACAGACATTACATTTAAATGTAATTTAATAATATATTAGATTTAAACTGATCTTGGAACTAACTGCTCTTACTCTCCAAGTGAATCTCATGGAATCCAATAGCAAAGCTGAAATACAGTCTGTGGGTATATTTTGTGTCTTTTAAGGCTAAAATTTACTGAAAGGTCAGAATTTTTATTTTATTTTTCAACTGCACAGTTCTCACTGTAATGAAACATTAAGCTTCTCATAAATGTAATTGGAGATCTCGGTTGCCTTGAAATTTGGTGGCTTCTGCTGTTATTTTTTTTATTCAGTTGAAAGCTTGAGGCTCTTTTGCACTTTTC